ATTCCTGGCCACCACATATAGCTTAAGGGCCTCACTACCCCTGGGTGTGTTTCATGTAGGGCTGTGAGGACCTTTTGGCGCAGAGGCTGGGGAACGACCACCCTGCTTCCCCGTAACAGGCACCCCTTGTGGGCTGACCACTTGTGTTTGCGGGTTGTATAGCCTGCAAATTCCGGCCCAGGGTTGCTACTGTGCCATCCCCACCACACCCAGTCCAGGACCCGGGAGATGACCCTGTCCTTCATGGAGTGGCGTGCTACTTCCAGCACCTGAATGGGGCGGTCAGGAAGCTGTTCCAGGCTCATGACCGCATGTGCAGGTGCTGGGTCGGGTCCGGTCTCAGGTAGTGGCAGTCTGCTAAGGGTGTCTGCGTGGCCCATTGCCTTCCCAGGTTGGTAGACCGTGTATACTGGTAGCCGGTGAGTAAAATCAACCACCCGAGGACACAGGGTGACAGTATTTGAGGGGTCTGGTTCTCAGGTGTGAATAGGCCAAGCAGCGACTTGTGGTCGGTCACGACGGTAAAGGGGTGCCCATACAAGAAATTGTGAAATTTCTTTACTCCCTTCACAATTGCCAGGCCCTCTTTGTCTATTTGCGGATAGCTCCTCTCGGCTGTGGAGAGGGTCTGGGAAAAGTAAGCCACCGGCACCTCTCTTCCATCTGGACGTTGGTGCCCTAGTACGGCACCGACACCATAGGGCAAGGTGTCGCATGCCACCACCACCGGCAACCTCTCGTCAAAGTGCGCCAGGACTGAGTTCAAGACGAGCAGATCTTTGACTGCCTGGAACGCAGCCTCATGGCACTGCCCCCACTCCCATGGGGCCCGCTTATCTAACAGTCTGTCTAGGGGCTCTGCTACTGCTGCCTTGTGGGGTAAGAAGGCATGGTAAAAGTTCAATAGTCCCAAGAAGGTTTGGAGTTCCGCCTTACCCTTAGGTGCAGGGGCGTCGCAAATAGCCCTCATCTTGTCCCCGGTCAGGTGGACTCCGTCTGCATCTACTGTAAATCCTAGAAAAACCACCTGTTGAACTCCTAGCAGACACTTTTCCCGCTTCACCTTGAGGCCGGCAGTCTGGAAACAGTGCAGGACGGTGCAGAGTGTATCCCCAAACTCCCCCAGCGTGGCCCCGGTGATCAACACATCATTGAAGAAGAGTGTGACGCTGGGAATTCCTTTGAGGAGAAAGTCCATTGGATTTTGGAATATGCCTGGGGCCACGCTGACGCTAAATTTCAGCCCCTTGACATGGAACGCGCCCCTGTGTGTTACAATCGTCTGTGCCTCCGCAGGGGCCTCGTCCACTGGCAACTGCTGATAGGCCTGGGCCAGCTTGCCACAAATCTTAGACCCCACCAGGGTGGCGAGGACGTGGCTGACCATTGGCACCGGGGATGCATGAGCCGTAAGGGCCTTGTTTATGGTACATTTGTAGTCTGCGCAGATGTGGACTGAGCCATTGGGCTTGACGGGTGTGATGATTGGGGTTTCTCAGGGGGCATTAGGCACGGGCTAGAGCACTCCTTGCTCCACAAGCCAGTCTAATTCCTCGTCAATGCGGGGTTTTGAGGGCGAACGGCACCTGATGGGCCTTGAACCTGATGGGTCGTATGGCAGGGTCTAGTTGTAGGCCAGCAGGGGGGCAGTATATCATCCCAATGCCCCATCGAAAACCTCCAGAAACTCTTTGCACATGGCGTCCACTTCCATGGTGCGGTGCACCCTGGTGATCGTTAGCCCCAGTGCCCCAAACCACGCCAAACCCAGTAAACTAACGTAGCACCCCTTGACCACGATAAACTCCAACCGCCTCTTCCGCCCTCGATATTGTACATTGAAAGTTCCCACCCCCATCGTGGGGATCTTGCATTCTTTGAAGTCTCCAGGAGGGTGAATGGAGCTGGCCTAACTTGGAGCTGCCACTGGGACACAATTTCCTTAATGTCCATGCCAAAATTATGGACAGGGTTGAGCCTGTATCAAGCTCCAGGCGGAATGGGGCTGCCCCTATCTGTGCCTGAATGTAAATTGTTTCCGCATTAGAATGAGGCAACTGGTATACCTGACAGTCTGTGATCTTCGTCGAGTTGCCTTGGTGTGTCAGACCACAGGGCCTGGGACTCTTGGCTCGGCCATCTGGTTCGATGCGTCGGGCAGGGCAGTCACGGCCCACCCGGGCGATGTGTCCCACTCTTCTGCATTCTCGGCATTCTGCGTTGGGAAATGGCAAGTCCTCTGCTCGTGGCTCTCCCCGCAACTTGCACAGTTCCCGTCTTCCGGACGAGGCTGTCGTGGTGGGTGTGCAGCTTATGTGCGCTGCTGCACTCAGTGCACGTCCTCCTGGTCGGATTCTGAGTCATCGGTGAGGTCCTCATGGTGGATCCTTGGTTGGGACGACATGTTTGACTGGAATCCTTGCGCTGACCTCTCGGCAGCTTCAGTTTCTAAAGCCTCCTCTAGGGCAGCCTGGAGCGTCAGGTCCTTCTTGGCGTAGAGGCACCACTGCAGCTTCTCGTCCCTCAGGCCGCCCACGAGGCAGTCACCAAGCATGTTCTCCAGCTCTGTGACGTTGCAGAGCCGAGCAGCCTGGCAGAGGGAGGTCACATTCCTGGTTATGGTTTCTCCGGAGACCTGCCACTTTGCCTAGAAGGCACTGCGTCACACTACCACCGAGGGTTGTTGCGAGAAGTGCCCCTTCAGCCTCAGAGGAGATAAAGGCCAGTCAGCCCAGTCTCAGGTTGCGGGAGCAACGACGTTGGAAACCTGTTTCTGCCAGCACCCAGACCTGTTTCTCCAGAGTTCCCGACCACGCCCGGCTTCTTGCTTTGGACCCCGCTTCTCCTTGGTGGGCAGTCTCCAGACCCTCGGCCCAGGACTGGACCTTGACCACGCCTCACGGTAACCCCCCCGGGACCAGCGCACTGTGTTTCATGATGTCCTTTGCCTCCAGGAGGAACTGGAAGCGGGTGGCGTATGCTTCCCAGTCTCCTGAGGCTGGGCTGAATGGCATGAAGCGGTTGTCTGTCGCCATTCTGGGTCCTTGGGTCCTGGAGCTGTACCCTGGATGCGCGATGTGATGCTGTGTTGCCTTGGCAGCTGTGTGCTTTGCGCGTCAGACAGCTCAGCAGGATCCCACCTTCATCGCCAGTGAAATATATTCAGAGTCCTGTAGTGATTTCATGCTCTTTTTTTGCAGCTTGTAAAACAGTGATTTAATTGCCCCCCAAACCTCAGGCTTTTATCTACATTATTTACACAATGAGTCCAGTCTGATTGGCTGATTCTGCTTCCCTCCTGGAGCCTGATTGGTCTTTTCCTGCAAGCCAATCAGTTGTTGCATTCTAGGATCCTACTTGCCTATTGTTCTAGGATCCAAGCTTAGAACATAACATTCTCCTTCCTCCGTGTCCCCAATTCCTAAATAGGCTTTATTTCAAAACAGGGTGGGGGTAGAGAGGGCTTAGTCTTCCAAACAACCCTTTATCCATTAGTTAGTAGACAAGCTTCTCAGTGCAAGGAGAGGAAAGGAGACCTCTGAGCCCAGCCTGGCCCCCCACCCAATTCTGCCCGCATGCCTTGAGGCCCCAAGATGGGCGGAGGAAGGCCTGGGGGCAGCTGCTGGCTGGGACTTTGATTGGGGCAGGGTGGGGGCACAGGTGGAGAAGCCTCTGAAGACAGGAAGACCGGCCATGGGGTGGCACTGGGGGGATTAATTCACATTGGTTTTCTACCCACAAACCACCACCCCCGGCTGTGAGGAGGGTGGCGCCTCCTCCATGAATTCCTCTTCCACTCCCAGCCACTCCCCTCAAACCTTTGCTAAAATCCTGCTCTCCTCTCTCCTCTCCATCTCAGAGGCTGGGCTTTTTGTCTCATCTTAATGACCGCCAAAGTGCCCACAATTGCCTCTTGCCTTCCACCCAAACTGTCCATATCAATCCTAAGCGTCTCCTGTTCTGATTTCTATTTTTTGTCTTCCAGCTTTTCAAACTTCTCTTCCCTTCCTTTCATGGAGACATGTAGTGCTTCTGCTTTCTTTGTCAGTGTCTCTACTTTAGAGGTCAAATTTGTCACCATTTCACTATTTCTATCAATTCGGGCTAATAGCTTCTCCAAATTTCCCTTCATCTTTTTAGTCAGGTCTTTTTTAAGTCAGCAAAAGTTCCACCAATTCAGATGGGGACCTGTCCCCTGGGTTTTGCTCTGAAGATCGTCTACTGAGGCCTGGTGTTAACTGTTTTTGAACTGCCATAGTCAAAACCAAACTCTCCCTTGTTCTCAAAGCAGCCTATTTTCCAGCAGCACCTTATCAGTTTGTCAAGGCCACAGAATAACTCTTTCCCAAGAGATCCTGTTTCCTGCAGTTTTCCACCCCTCCTCTTCCTTCCAGCCTGATTCCCAACACACATCAGCTGTTTAACATAAAATCCAATTTCTCAAATTAAGATTCGAATTAAACAAATAAACCAAATAATTACTTTAAGAGATGAACCATAAAACAGAAAAAAGAAAGAGTGTGTTCAAGAGGACATAGCAATTTAGATGTCCAGATAAGAGTGGTTGTTTTGCACTCTTTAAGTGGCTCAGAGTAGAAGAAATATTTTCCTTCAAAAAGAAACAAACTTGTCCAAACCTGTCCTATTTTGGCTTTTGCAGTGAGCTCCCAGTTTTTCTAAAAGCTCCAATTTTTTTTTAAAAGAGCTTTAAAATTGAGACCAGACTTTCATAACTCCTTCCAGTCACACACGTGGCACTGATATGATTCCTCCCCTGTATGTATTCTTTGATGAAATGAGATTTCCTTTTTGACTGAAGCTCTTTCCACATTCCTAACACTGATCTGACTCCTCTGCTGTGTGTAATTTTTGATGGGCATTGAGACCTACTTTCCTGGTGAAGCTCTTTCCACATTCCAAGCACTGAAAGGGTTTCTCACCTGTATGAATTCTTTGATGGGAAGTGAAACTTATTTTCCAGGTGAAGCTCTTTCCACATTCTAAACACTTAAAGGGTTTCTCCCCTGTATGAATTCTTTGATGGGAAGTGAGTGTGGAGCTGTTAATGAATCTCTTTCCACATTCCAGGCACTGAAAGGGGTTATCTCCTGTATGAATTCTTTGATGGGAAGTGAGACTTTCTTTCCTGGAGAAGCTCTTTCCACATTCCAAACATTGATAGGGTTTCTCCCCTGTATGAATCCTTTGATGGGAAGTGAGATGGGCCCTCTGACTGAAGCTCTTTCCACATTCCATGCACTGATATGGTTTCTCCCCTGTATGAATTCTACGATGGCAAGTGCAATCGTGGCTGTGACTGAAGCTCTTTCCACACTCCAAGCAGTGATATGGTTTCTCCCCTGTATGAATTCTTTGATGGGAGGAGAGAGAGGAGCTATCAGTGAAGCTCTTTCCACATTCAACACACTGATAGGGTTTCTCCCCTGTATGAATTCTTTGATGGGAAGTGAGATCGTAGCCGCAGCTGAAACTCTTTCCACATTCCACACACTGATAGGGGTTATCCCCTGTATGAATTCTTTGATGGACAGTGAGATTTTCTTTCCAGGTGAAGCTCTTTCCACATTCCACGCACTGATAGGGTTTTTCTCCTGTGTGAATTCTTTGATGGACAGTGAGACTTTCTTTCCAGGTGAAGCTCTTTCCACATTCCGCGCACTGATAAGGTTTCTCCCCTGTATGAATTCTTTGATGGACAGTGAAACTTTCTTTCCTGGTGAAGCTCTTTCCACATTCCAAGCACTGATAGAGTTTCTCCCCTGTATGAATCCTTTGATGGGAAGTGAGATTTTCTTTCCAGGTGAAGCTCTTTCCACACTCCAAGCACTGATAGGGTTTTTCTCCTGTGTGAATTCTTTGATGGGAAGTGAAACTGCTTTTTTTGCTGAAGCTCTTTCCACATTCCAAGCACTGATAGGGTTTCTCCCTGTATGAATCCTTTGATGGGAAGTGAGCTTGGTCCTCTGATTGAAGCGCTTTCCACATTCAACGCACTGATAGGGTTTCTCCCTTGTATGAATTCTACGATGGGAAGTGAGAGTATTGCTGTGACTGAAGCTCTTTCCACACACAAAGCAGTGATACGGTTTCTCCCCTGTATGAATTCTTTGATGGGAAGTGAAACTGCTTTTTTGACTGAAGCTCTTTCCACATTCCAAGCACTGATACGGTTTCTCCCCTTTATGATTTCTCTGATGGACAGTTAGACTTTCTTTCCTGATGAAGCTCTTTCCACATTCCACACACTGATAGGGTTTGTCCCCTGTATGAATCCTTTGATGGGAAGTGAGATTGGCACTCCGAGTGAAGCTCTTTCCACATTCCAAGCACTGATACGGTTTCTCCCCTGTATGAATCGTTTGATGGGAAGTGAGCTTAGCCCTCTGATTGAAGCTCTTTCCGCATTCCAAGCACTGAAAGGGTTTCTCCCCTGTATGAATTCTTTGATGTGCAGTGAGATGGGAGCCGTGATTGAAGCTCTTTCCACATTCCACGCAGTGATATGGTTTCTCTCCTGTATGAATTCTACGATGGGTAGTGAGATTGTGGCTGTGACTGAAGCTCTTTCCACACTCCAAGCAGTGATAGGGTTTCTCTTTTGTATGAATTCTACGATGGGCAGCGAAACTCTGTTTCCAGGTGAAGCTTTTCCCACATTCCAAGCACTGATAGGGTTTCTTCTCAAGCGGATTTCTTTGATGGGAAGTGGCATGGGAGCTCTGACTGAAGCTCTCTCCACAGTCTGAATCCTGATATGGCTCCTCCACTGTGTGAATTTCGTTGTAGTCTCCCTTGTTCTTCATTTCCAATTCATCACCACCTGAAACTAAGAGGCAAACGGATTAGAGTCTCGGGAAGAAGAGCAGTCCCAAATTACGGAACAATGCTAATTAATGCTTGGGACAGAGGAAGACCTGAAGGGAGTTAGATGTTATAACGTTCCTTTTGTTCTGTAAAAATGTCTAGTTTCATATACAAATCAATTTGGATATTAGATGTTTTCTCTCTCAGGTTTTTAAAAGTACAGCTTAACCTGGTAACGTCATTTTGTTCAAATTTAAATATGCATCTGTACGATCTTCATAAATAAAATGTGCTTTTATTGAAAAAGGTGGCCAATGCGGGAAAGTTCCCTGTTAAGATTAAGATATATTCAATATGCTAAGTTGTTCAGTATGCAGTAATAAATCTAAACAAATTTTAAGAGCTGGAGAAATATTTGGGAACATTGACTCTGGACTGACTTGGTCATAGTCAGCTGCCTTGTGTTGGGCGATGTAAGAGCAGGGGAATAAAAATGGCAAACGTGAACTTCTTGTCATGTGACAAAGACACATGAGAGCAGAAGCAGCAAAGCAGGCTGGGAACTGCTGGGACTGCACAATCATTTGGGCCTACTAAAGTTATTCAGACGAGTGATCATGCTCTTCTGAAGTTTACTATACAGCGGAAAGGAGCAGCCAAGCATACTAGGACTCAATTTCTTGACTTTAAGAAAGCCGACTTCATAAAACTTAGGGAAGTGCTGGGTGAGATCCCATGGACAATAATACTAAAAGGAAAGGGAGTTCATGATGGCTGGGAGTTTGTTAAGAGGAGATAGTAAAGCACAACGTCGGGCAATACCAATGAGACGGAAACATGGAAGGTGCCTAACGAAGCCAGGGTGGCTATCTAAAGAACTTTTAACGGAGTTAAGATTAGAAAAGGATGTGTACAAAAAATGGAAAAGGGGGGAAACCACCAAAGAGGAATTCAAACAAATAGCCAGCACGTGTAGACACAAAGTCAGAAAAGCTAAAGCACAGAATGAACTCAGGCTTGCTAGAGAGGTTAAAAGCAACAACAAAGGCTTTTATGGGTATGTTCGCAGCAAAAGGAAGAACAAAGAAACAGTGGGGTCACTCAGAGGAGAAGATGGTGAAATGCAAACAGGGGACACAGAAAGGGCTGAACTCCTCAATGCCTTCTTTGACTCAGTCTTCTCCGACCTGAAGAATTTGGAGCAAATGATTCAGCAAAGGAAACACAGCCCAGAATAACTAAGGAGATAGTAGAAGAATACTTGGCTAGTTTAGATGTATTCAAGTCTCCAGGGCCAGATGAACTGCATCCAAGAGTACTAAAAGAACTGGTAGATGTGATCTCAGAACCACTGGCAGTCATCTTTGAGAATTCCTGGAGAACAGGCAAAGTCCCGGAAGACTGGAGGAGGGCAAATGTTGTCCCTATTTTCAAAAAGGGGAAAAGAGAGGACCCAAATAATTACCGCCCAGTCAGTCTGACATCAATACCAGGGAAGATTCTGGAGCAGATCATTAAGCAAACAGTCTGTGAGCACCTAGAAAGGAATGCTGTGATCACCAATAGTCCGCATGGATTTCTGAAAAATAAGTCATGTCAGACTAACCTGATCTCATTTTTTTGACAGAATTACAAGCCTGGTAGATGAAGGGAACGCAGTGGATGTAGCCTACCTTGATTTCAGCAAGGCATTTGACAAGGTGCCCCATGATATTCTTGTAAAGAAGCTGGTAAAATGCGGTCTTGACTATGCTACCACTCAGTGGATTTGTAACTGGCTGACTGAGCGAACCCAAAGGGTGCTCATCAATGGTTCCTCTTCATCCTGGAGAAGAGTGACTAGTGGGGGGCCACAGGGTTCTGTCTTGGGCCCGGTCTTATTCAACATCTTTATCAACGACTTGGATGATGGACTCAAGGGCATCCTGATCAAATTTGCAGATGACACCAAACTGGGAGGGGTGGCTAACACCCCAGAGGACAGGATCACACTTCAAAACGACCTTGACAGATTAGAGAACTGGGCCAAAACAAACAAGATGAATTTGAACAGGGAGAAATGTAAAGTATTGCACTTGGGAAAAAAAAATGAGAGGCACAAATACAAGATAGGGGACACCTGGCTTGAGAGCAGTACATGTGAAAAGGATCTAGGAGTCTTGGTTGACCACAAACTTGACATGAGCCAACAGTGTGACGCGGCAGCTAAAAGAGCCAATGCAATTCTGGGCTGCATCAATAGGAGTATAGCATCTAGATCAAGGGAAGTAATAGTGCCACTGTCTTCTGCTCTGGTCAGACCTCACCTGGAGTACTGTGTCCAGTTCTGGGCACCACAGTTCAAGAAGGACACTGACAAACTGGAACGTGTCCAGAGGAGGGCAACCAAAATGGTCAAAGGCCTGGAAACGATGCCTTATGAGGAACGGCTAAGAGAGCTGGGCATGTTTAGCCTGGAGAAGAGGAGGTTAAGGGGTGATATGATAGCCATGTTCAAATATATAAAAGGATGTCACCTAGAGGAGGGAGAAAGGTTGTTTTCTGCTGCTCCAGAGAAGCGGACACGGAGCAATGGATCCAAACTACAAGAAAGAAGATTCCACCTAAACATTAGGAAGAACTTCCTGACAGTAAGAGCTGTTCGACAGTGGAATTTGCTGCCAAGGAGTGTGGTGGAGTCTCCTTCTTTGGAGGTCTTTAAGCAGAGGCTTGACAACCATATGTCAGGAGTGCTCTGATGGTGTTTCCTGCTTGGCAGGGGGTTGGACTCGATGGCCCTTGTGGTCTCTTCCAACTCTATGATTCTATGATTTTACTGATTACAGTGGTACTGAGAGTGACAGCGATAGCTCGAAGAGCTTAGTTAACACAGTTGTTGAGAGGAAATCTCACACAATGGCTAGACCTTCACAGGTGAAGGATGAACCACTGTTTACTATTGGAACTGGTTCTCCAAAGAGTCCTGAGACTGAACCAGTGAGCAGAGAGGATCAGCACCTCATACGCAGGTCTGAGAGAGTTACAAAGGGCGTACCACCCAAGAGGTATTCCAAAGAGTTTGCTAACTCAGCTGTAGCATGTGTTACTATTGTTGACAACTCAAGACAGGTTAAAGGTGTGTCCAAGTCAGAAACAAAGACACAACAGGGAGTTGCTAAACGTAACACTACATTCCCTAGCCAAGGTAAGGCGGATGCACTCATTCTTTGGAAGTCAGACAACCAGAGAGGTACACTGGTGAAACCAGTGGCGGGTAGTTCCAAGGGTGGAACTGAAACAACAGGGGATTGTTATATGTATAACAACGGTTTGTTTTCTTCTCTGGATCAAGCTTTGTTCGCAGCTCACATTGATTCATATGGGGGAGTATGTAACGATATAGAAGCAATGCAGCTGCAAACTGGTAGCTTGAAAACAAAACATGATGGAATGTTGGGACTGTTCCGTGGGAAACAGAGGGACAGTCAGTTCACAGGGCAATGCACAGGAATTAGCTCAGAGTGTAATATGAGCTCTTCCTCTTGCTCTTGTACAGGAAGTACAGGAGGTTTTTGACTCTGGACTGCTGGAGCTTGAAGAGAGCAGTCATGTTTTCTGTTATGCTTCAAAGACAGAAATAAAAGCATGTAAAAACGTTTCTGTCTATCTCCTTTTCCCTGCCGGGAGAGCAGGAGGGAGGGGGTGTGTTCTTCTCACGCTGAGAAGAATCGCCTATCGCGACCTAGCCTGGATCTTGCTGGGAATGCAGCCAGGGAGGTCAACAGGAGACCAAGCCGGGTGCCTGGGAGTGCTGCCAGTTACTCCCGATATAGGCTTGATTTCCGACAGAAAGAAGAGTTGGGATCATTCAAAGAAAATAAGGTTTACACACTAGCCAAATTGCCATCAGGTGAAAAGTTAATTTTTCATGTTTATACTTCTGCCCTCTAGGTCTTTGGGGGAGTGTCATGTAACAAAGACACATGTGAGCAGAAGCAGCAAAGCAGGCTGGGAAGTGCTGGGACTGCACAATCATTTGGGCCTACTAAAGTTATTCAGGCCTAACAGCTAAGTGTTGAGTCACTCTGACATGTGACTTAGCAGCCATTTTCTCTGTGTGTTCTCTGTAAGATTTCAGTCAGAGTCAGTCTGCCTCACTTGTGAGCAGAGTCAGTATGTAATCTCAGTCAAACTATTTGGAACCATGTTGTTTATGAAGAAGTTTATTTTAACTCAGTAAAGCTCTTATTCTTTAGAACTCTGCATTATTAATTTACGCTGCGTGTCACTTCTATGTGCTGAAAAACACTTTTCATATATTGAACAAATGTGTGTAGCAGCTGCCAAATTTGAATTTCTTTAGTGGCTAAAAATTTAATTATGATGTGCATCACCTTAAACCAATTTGGATGTTTTCTTAAATTCTCGACATCACAGAATGCAGCAGAAACTTGTCATATCAGTATTATTATTATTATTCAAGTTTCCTTACAGTCGTACCGCAGGTTACATACGCTTCAAGTTACAGACTCCGCTAACCTAGAAATAGTACGTCAGGTTAAGAACTTTGCTTCAGGATGAGAACAGAAATCGTGCTCTGGCAGCGCAGAGGCAGCAGGAGACCCCATTAGCTAAAGTGGTGCTTCAGGTTAAGAACAGTTTCAGGTTAAGAACAGACCTCCAGAACGAATTAAGTTCTTCACCCGAAGTACCACTGTACTTAAATGTTACATTTTTGTGAGAAGTTACAGGGGACGAGGCAGGGGGCCTTCTCGATAGGGGAACCCACCCTGTGGAACGCCCTCCCCTCAGATGTCAAGGAAATAACTATGCAACTTTTAGAGGACATCTGAAGGCACCTCTGTATTGGGAAGTTTTTAATGTTCGATGTTTTATTATGTTTTTCTATTTGTTGGAAGTTGCCCAGAGTGGCTGGGGCAACCCAGTCAGATGGGCAGGGTGAAAATAATAAAATTATCATTATTGTTACTACAGGGTTCACTGCCTGAGATTCAAAAAGCCTGGCTCTGTTTTGGGATGGAGTTTGTTTGGTTCAGTCGTGGAATCTGTGCCATCTCCAATGTCAAGCGACTCTTTGGTCAACCAGAGAGAGACAGAAGCAAGAACAAAAGCAGGAAACTTTACTGAAGCTACTTCAACACCCCAAATCACTCGGAATCCTACATTTAAGAAGGCCTGGGCAGTTCAGACAGCCTGATCATGGTTTTAAACGGCAGAACTGGAAGAAGAATATTCACAGGGAAAACAATCAATAGCCATCCCTCCAAGGTTTGCTTTGGGAGTGTTAACATCCCAGGTGCTGTGGGTGGCGCTGTTGAGCCCCATCGAAATATCAGAGGTTCATCATCTAGAGAGATGTCTTGAATTACAAAACAGAAAGGATGATCCAATAGGGAGCCTTACCGAGAGAGTCCAAGATCCCACGATTCTCCTCCATGACTTCCTTATGGAGAGCTCTCTGGTCAGGATCCAGCAACGCCCACTCCTCGTCTGTGAAATGGACAGCCACATCTTCAAAGCACACTGGACCCTAACAGAACAGGAAAAAGGCTGTCCTCTTAGAGAACATTCACTTGGCTCTGCTGTTTTCTACAGCGGCCAGACCCCTCTCTGCCTTCCTCATCCCTCTCTCCTGCTGCAGCTTCTGCCTCGGAGTCTGGGCTGCTCTCTGCCACAGACTCCCTCTGCTCCCTGAGCCCTCTTCCCTCTCCAGCTTCAGACCCCTCCTCCTCCTCCTCCCAGTCGGCTCCCTCTTCTCTGGCTCCTCCCACCATTCCTCTGCATCCAACTGTGTCCAGCCAGTCTGCATCCAAGCAGTCCTTCCCCACAAGGCTCCTTCCCCCTACCTGATCTGGGTCCACAGCTGCTGCCTCCCCTCCACCACCATGAAAAGATGAAGGAGCAGGTCTTGGTGGCATCATTCCGTCACCTGGGAGAGACCAAGGAAAGTGGAAACCGTGAGCGCCTGCTTCTCTCAGAGGTGAAACAGTGCATCTCTAAGTACAGATGGGGCTTGTCCAAGTCTCCCCTGCTAGCTTCCGGTTCCGCTCTGCTTTAATGGAGGCAGCGGGAGATCGTTGGCAAAGGAAAAACAAGGATGACTGAGGGTAATTCTCCTTGCAAGTTGCCCCCGGGACAGGGGGAAACAGGCTTCACTCCCAGTTTGTCTCGGTACCAGGTTCCGGCTCCGGCATGGATTGCGAGAGGCAGGGAGGTGCTGAGTGCAAAAGCCCTTCGCCTGCCGAAAACCCTCCTTCGCCGCCATTAAGAACCAGAGGTTCTCCTGTCAATTAGAGCTCAATTTGGACTAATGTACAGGCGTTGCTGGAAGAGATGAGCTCATAAACTGCGGAATTGAACCAGCTGCAAGGTCTTTAAGGTTTGAATTTGAGAATAAACTTCATTTGCTGCAAAAGACAGTGAGTGGGGGGAGGGGAGCCTATGGCTTCTTTATATAAAGTTTTCTTCTCTGCATTTATGATTTGGCAGTCCGCCACTGAATACTAGTTGAAAATATATATGTACAGGTGAGCAGGGATGAAACTGGATTGCAGATATGAAATATAACATCAAATGGAACTGTGTGTGTAAAAACCAAAAGGAAAAAGGGAGGAAAGCTCTATTTTGTTTACGATGGAAAATTAGAGGTGACTCTTCCCCATCCTTTATTATATACAGACTGAACTGAATAATGCTAAAAGGACTTGGAATTTAATTTAATTGGATAAATGTACATTTATCTTAGGCCAGACAGAGGGATGTAAGGAATCTGAAAGTTGTGTAGGAGCTGATAAGGTTCATTACTGAGTCAATTGCAGTTTGACCGATCCCTCTCCTTCCCAGGCGGAGAAGAAAAATGGCAAAAACTGATTATTTATTGGGACAGTGTGATTTTTGCAGCTGCTGTTAAAGTTGCCAAACAACGAAGCACAGGACAGAGCGATGGAGAATTTCTGAAACCACAATGGGATATTAGCTCCGTCCAAGGAATGATGGAGAACAGCAACAACCAGGAAAAGATAAAATATTTTACAAGGACAGGAAAAAACATCACAAACAGGAAGGTTGCCACACATGGGAAGAGTAAGGATATCGCTGGAGTGCCTCACTTGTAGTTTTATATATTATTTGTATAAAGGATTCTTATCTTGACAGGAGGGTAATTGAAAATAATAAGATTTTGGAATGCAGAAATCAAGAAAATCATCAAACCATCAGTTTTAGCATGCGGGGGGGGCACCTATATTATATAATTTGATATCTTAAAGATTGGTATTACTAATTGTATTGTAATTTCGCATTGTTATAATGGGGCCATTAATGAACTGTAATTTTAAACTAATCAAATTACTATCGGAACCGTCTCCCCTGCTGAGTACATTTGGACTCATTTGTACCCATTTCATATAATAGTTGTGCAAAAATACATCCCCCCCCCCGAGCTCTGGGCTCCAGGTGTCTTCCCCCAAAAGATGTAAAGAACTCACAGATTAGTTTCAAAACCAAGAGAATGTGACAAAACGGGGGAGAAAACACTCCTTCCTCCTTACCCAGAGGCCTCACTCTGGCGTCCAGCGGAGTCTTCTCTGCCTCAGAAGACTCAAGACCCATTTCTGCCAAAAGATCCTTCCTCTGAAAGAGCAACAAGGATTCAAAACAGAGAATGGGGAGAAGGGTTAGAGAAGGAATGGCAGAGGCAAGCGCTTTCGGGGGACAGAGGTGAAAGCTGCTTCCTGCTTCTGCTAGACTGGTGTCTGGGGTTGGCTGCCAGGACCATGAAACATTGGTCCTCAAGGATCTTCACTGGCTCCCAGAACGTTTCCCAGCACAATTCAAAGTGTTGGCCTCAAAGGCCCAGTATACCCAAAGGAGCGTCTCCATGAACTGAGGTCCAGTTCCGAGGGTCTTCTGCTGATTCCCTCACTGTGATAAGTGAAGTTACAGGGAACCAGGCAGAAGACCTTCTCCACAGTGGGACCCACCCTGGGGAATGCCCTCCCATCAGGTGATAAGGAGATAAGAAAATGCATAACTTTTAGAAGACATCTGATGTCTTCTTATGCTTTTATATGTGCTGGAAGGCACCCAGCCACATGGATGTCATAAAGAAGAAGAAGAAGAAGAAGAAGAAGAAGAAGAAGAAGAAGAAGATCTGTTCCTAGATGCTTTCCAAAAAAGGATGGGCCATTAGTAAAAAAGGATGGGCCATTAGGAAATGATTTGGGAATACTCTCCCTCCTCTTTGGAGCCCCTTGGGAGTATCCAGAGGAAAGTCTCTCTCACCTGCTGCTCTGCCTGCTTCCTCTCCTCTGCCTGACTCAGGAGGAGACCTTCGGCCAGGGCCACCGCCTGGGAACTGGTCTCCGCTCCGCATTCCCTCACCCAGCTCTCCACCTCCAGAGGAAGGACAGCCAGGAACTGCTCCAAGATCACCAGGTCCAACATCTGAGCTTTCGTGTGCCTTTCCGGCTTCAGCCACTGATGGTCAAGGTGGTAGAATTGGCTGCAAACCTCTCGGGGTCCTTTGGCCTCCTGGAAGCAGAACTGCCTGAGCTGCTGGCTCTGCACCTCTGAGCAAGGGGTGTCCTCCTCACCCAGGATCTTCTGCACGGAGTTTTCACGCAATCCCCCACTGCTCCCAGTTTCCAGGGCGTGGCCTCTTCCTGCTTCAGGGCCAGCTGAGTCTTGTTCATCCATCTGGGCTCTCCGGAAGTCTCCAAGAGATCGGAAGGAGCCCCTTGGTCCTCTGCCAAGTTCTGTGTGTCCTAATGCAAGGTGCAGCAAATCCTATGAATCAAACACATTCTTCTATTATAATATTAGAGCACAGCCAAGAGAAGAATGTTCCCTGAGCAAGTGTAGGGAGAGGAGGAGGAGGAGGAGGAGGAAGAAGTAATAACTGTGAATGACAAGTGAGTCATTTATATGAAGTGTAATTTGGAGCCAGGGCAATAGTGGGGGTCCCTCCCAACCCCACTTCATAGTCCAGAGCTTCGCCCCAACCCAGCCATATCTGCTTGGGTGGCTTGGTGAGCAGCAGGGCCCAGGTCTAGCTCCAGCCACCGTCCCTTTGGCACAGACAGGATGTGGCCATGTGACTTCCTGCTGTGGATCCGAGGGGACGATGGCAAGGCCCTCTGGGTGGAACTGCCCTGGAAGACGCCTCGGAAACTGGCCCCAAATGCAGCGGTTGGGTTCTCAACTGGGTTCCCTCTTTTACTAATGGCATTTCTATCCCACCTTTTCTCCAACAGGCTCCAGGTGGTGTCAGGGACTGGACCCAAGAGGAATGCTGGAGACCCCTTTCCCTCCTCCTGAACCTTCCCGAGAAGAGGAGGACAGTATAGATTTACAACAGTGGTTTGCAGAAGGTCATAGTTCAGAGGCTGCAGAGGGGAGAAGCTGGGAAATATTGGGAGAGCAGCAGGAGGAAGAGGCAGCAGCACCAGGGGAGAGAGAGCTGACAGACTCTGTGTCTTCAGAAAGCATTCCTGACCCTCCTTCTCCCAGGATCCAGCGTGCATTGAGAGTAGGAGAACAGGAAGCACAGAGGCAGAAAGCACAGATCAGCCGACGCAGGGATGACGTAGAAGAGGAGAGACAGAGGGGCGGGACTTTACTCAGAACAACGCCATTACTGCAATGGAGAGGTGCTGTTCAAAGTCTCTCTCTGTAAATATTGAATAAAGGACTCGGCAGGAACTCTTCTTGTTATTGACTTCTTGGCTGGCCACTGGGGGAGGGATGGGATTCCCTGAAGCCTGACAGGAGGCATCTACATGTAGTTCCTGTTTTAAAATACCTGCCTTGGTTGCCAGTTCATTTCTGGGCCTAAGTTCATCAACAGACCAACACTTTATATTGTTTAGTTGGCAATGGAAGAGGAGAAAGGCCCATGACTCACCCTTAATCTAAGCACAACCACAAGGGCTTTGCCATGTGGAATGCTCTCTGTTCACTCTGTTCTGTTTCCCCTTTATTTTTGGTCGCGTTCAAACCAATTCATTAACCCAAAAGTCATACGCTGACCACTGACAATGAACCTGATGTCGCAAATTTATTATGCTGCTTTTGTGATATACAAATGGCATGAGGAGACTTGCTTTATTTAACTCTATCCTTTATTATTCCTATGATCCTTCTTTATAAAACCCAATGAAAAGTTATTCAAAAACAAGAGGAAACAACACACACACACACGGGCTCCATCTGTGTGGCATCTGATATGTTAGCAGGCTTTAAATTAATCACCAGAAAACGAAAAGGTTAGCAAAGAATATGAGAGGAGAAGACCAGAAGGTTTTGGTGGAGGAAACAGGGTTTCAAACCGAAAATAAAATATTTGAGTGTTACTGTGACAAATACCAATTTATGTTGTTTCAAAATAATTATGTGCTGAAATTAAAGGATATGTCAAGATGGGGGATGCAGAAATATTTACCTCTTAAAATTAAAGTATTGCAAGATGCCAAGGAAAGCGAAGTAGGAAGTAATCCTCCTTTCTGTTTGTGCGCTTATTTAGATTCCTTGATTTTATCTTTGATAAAAAGATAGGGGGTATTGGATGCCCACTTTCGTCCATCTCCTTTCAAACATGAACGACATCTATTGAAAGAATGAAAAATAAGGGGAAATAAAAGAAAGAGAGCCCCCCCCCCCGGCCAAGCCAGACTCCAAAGAGTCTTGGGAACCGTAGTTTGCGAAGGAGACACCGTCCAGCTGCCCCCTCGAGCCTGAAAACTCCCGGGAAGCTTGGGAAAGAGACCATTCCTGTCCGGGGCTCGGGGGGCGGGGCGGGGGGCGGGTCCGCTGGCAGGCTCCGCCCTCTGTCGCCCCTCCCCCTCCCGGGCCAAGGAGAAGCCAGGCCGAGCCTGGTCCTGGGCAGGAGGAAGAGGAAAGCCAAGGAGCTGAGAACCGCCCAGGCTCGAGAGCCATGATGTTACCTCAGCGTCGCGGGGCAGGGAGTTCCGCAGGCTTCGCCCGAGAGGAGACCCACCAGAGCCCGGCCGGCGAAGGCGAGGCCGGAAGGGACGTCAGGGGGGAGGAGGGGGAGGAGGGGGAGCGGCCCGCCTTCCTTTCCTGTCCTCTCTAGGAAGCCAGCTCGGCGCCCCTTCACCCTTCTCTCTCCCGTCCGGGGCGTCGCGCAGGCGCAGAGCTGCTCCATCCGGGGCCTGGCGAGCTGCTCCCTCGGAGGGGAAGAGGCCGCCCTTGGCCCGCCATGGGGGAGAGGAGGGGCGCCTGCCCGGGAAGAAGAAGCCGGCCTGGGCAAGGGGGAAGGCGGGTCCCGGAGGAGGAGGAGCCCCTCTCTCTGCCCGGGGCTCCGGGGGAGAACCAGGTCTCTGGCCCCTGGAGAAAAAAGGGGGGTGGAAATAAATAAGAGTCCGCTGTAGATCAAGCAGCAGGAAAGGACCACACAAAAAGCAAGGACCTTAGTCCACAGATTAAGTTTCATTCAAACCCAGAAGAGAAAAAGCAGCCCTAAGTGCAGTGTCTCAAGGATGCAGCGTAACATCTTTACCTTAGAAAAAGGAATTAAACGTAACAGTCGGCAAAGAGGCAGTTAAATGGAATTTTTCAGTGGCAAGGGGGACAAGGAAGCCCATCACAGCAGGCCTGTGTTGTTAAAAATCAGGAGAAGAGATTTCTGTACATCTCAAGAGCAACAAGAATGTGTTCCTTCCCACCCTTTGCTTGAGAAGTAAAACTCTGCAAGTGTTTGGCTCCAGGGTCCCTTGAGAGAGAGTTGGTTCCGACTCTGAGCAAAGAGGAAGGAAAAGGGGGTCCTGCAAGGAGAGGATGAGGGGAAGACCCCCTTTTCTAGGGGTGGGGAGAGGGATTGGGCTCCCAGGTCAAGAGAGCACCTTGTATCCTGGCACTGAAAAGACACCCTCCCGACACACACTTTGTGGCATCTCCTTTCGGCAAAGGGTCAAAACATAGTTCCAACTTGAAAACCACCTCCAGGACCAGGCACCCTCAATGGGCTTTGCACTACAACTCCCAACCGGGCCTGCCAGCAGAAGGCAGGGGGGATGGAAACAGCCGTCCAAAAGGTCCGGCCAGCTCCAGAGGCGACCCAAGGCTGCTCTCCAACGGGACGCTGCTCCAGGCATCTGAGCTGCCCAGTTCAAGGGAGCTGGCGGGACAAAGAACTGGGGTTCCTGAATTGCAGGGGTCGGACTAGATGAGCTTGGAGTGTCCTCTTCCAGGATTCCTCATCTGGCTGCCAATGCCACAGCTGGAATGTCTCCCAAAACTGCACCCCCTTTCACAAGGAGCTCCCCCCCCCCCCCCCGTGTCTTAAACTACCCTTTGACTGGCAACCATCTCCAATCTCCTTGCTGGACAATCCCAACCAAAGATGCAATGGATTCTCTGAAATCTACTCAGGAGTCCTGTAGTGATTTCATGCTCTTTATTGCAGCTTGCAAAAGAGTGATTTAATTGCACCCCAAACCTCAGGCTGTTATATACATTATTTACACAATTAGTCCCGTCTGATTGGCTGATTCTGCTTCCTTCCTGGAGCCTGAATGCTCTTTTCCTGCAAGCCAATCAGTTGTTGCATTCTAGGATCCTACTTGCCTTTTGTTCTAGGCTCAAAGCTTAGTACATAACCCCCCTCCCCTCTACGTTCCCGTTGCACCCAGAAGGTTAGCATTCCTAGTCGTTGAGGTATGCCGGTCACCTATGTATGCCTTGTGGTCTTGGGTGTCTCTCAGTAGGGGTTCCCGGTTCTTGCTCTTGTTCCAGGGCTGCCGGTTGTGACGGGGTCGTTGGGTTGGACGCCACTGGTCCACTCGGTTGTGGTTCTGGTTCCTGTGGCTGCTCGGCCTCGGTCACTTCTGGACTTCCTAGTTCTGCCTCCCTTACCCGCTCCTCCTGCTCTATGGGCCTCACCCTTCTGCTATCCCCTTGGGATTCCTCTGTCCAGCCCTCCTTGCAGTTCCCCCCCAGGAACCATCGCAGCAGTTGATCGCAGTGGCGGCGCCAAGCTTTCCCCCCTTCGTTAGCATGACACGGGGCCAGTCGCCCTGGTGACTGTGGTGGGTACCCATGCCAGGCCCTCCCCGAAGTTCTTTGCATACACTGGGTTGCGGGGCTGGAAGGTCCGGGGGTTCCCACCTTCCCCCACTGCTGCCTCGTCATGGGCCCTGTTGGGGTGAAGGCGGTCTGGTCTTGTTGTGAGGCGCCAGCCCATGAGTAGTTCCGCTGGGCTCCGGCCATCACTGTGCTGTGGGTGCTGTGCTGGGCTAGGACAAATGCAGCTAGGCGATACTCCCAGTCCCCTTGTGTCATGCGGCGGAGGGTGTCCTGGGTGGTCCACACCATGCGCTCTGCTTGGCCATCGGTGGCGGGTTGGAACAGCACTGATTGTGCATGGCGGATGGCATTTTCTGTTGCGAAGGTCTGGAACTCCTGTGACGTGAATGCTGTTCCGTTGTCGGAGACGAGTGTGTCAGGGAGTCTGTGGGTTGTGAACAGCCTATATAGTACTTGGATGACCGCAGCCGTGGAAGTGGACGGTACCTGGACGACCTCCAGCCATTTGGAGTATGAGTCCCCACTACGAAGAATGTCTTTCCCTGGAAGGGGCCAGCGAAGTCCACATGCAGGTGGGACCACAGTGCTCGGGTGGACTCCCAGGGTTGGATGGGGGCCCTTGGGAGATCTGGGCAGGACTCCTTTCAGGTCTGGCAGTATTTAACCCAGGCCTCTATCTCCCCGTCGATTCCTGGCCACCACATATAGCTTAAGGGCCTCACTACCCCTGGGTGTGTTTCATGTAGGGCTGTGAGGACCTTTAGGCGCAGAGGCTGGGGAACGACCACCCTGCTTCCCCATAACAGGCACCCCTTGTGGGCTGACCACTTGTGTTTGCGGGTTGTATAGCCCACAAATTCCGGCCCAGGGTTGCTACTGTGCCATCCCCACCAAACCCAGTCCAGGACCCGGGAGATGACCCTGTCCTTCATGGAATGGCGTGCTACTTCCAGCACCTGAATGGGGCGGTCAGGAAGCTTTTCCAGGCTCATGACCTCATCTGCAGGTGCTGGGTCAGGTCCAGTCTCAGGTAGTGGCAATCTGCTGAGGGTGTCTGCGTGGCCCATTGCCTTCCCAGGCTGGTGGACTGTGTATACTGGTAGCCGGTGAGGAAAATCAACCACCTGAGGACGCAGGGTGACAGTATTTGAGGGGTCTGCTTCTCGGGTGTGAATAGGCCAAGCAGCGACTTGTGGTCGGTCACGACGGTAAAGGGGTGCCCATACAAGAAATTGTGAAATTTCTTTACTCCCTTCACAATTGCCAGGCCCTCTTTATTTGCAGATAGCTCCTCTCGGCTGTGGAGAGGGTCTGGGAAAAGTAAGCCACCGGCACCTCTCTTCCATCCGGACGTTGGTGCCCTAGTACGGCACCGACACCATAGGGCAAGGTGTCGCATGCCACCACCACCGGCAACCTCTCGTCAAAGTGCGCAAGGACTGAGTTCAAGACGAGCAGATCTTTGACTGCTTGGAACGCAGCCTCATGGCACTGCCCCCACTCCCATGGGGCCCGCTTATCTAACAGTTTGCCTAGGGGCTCTGCTACTGCTGCCTTGTGGGGTAAGAAGGCATGGTAAAAGTTCAATAGTCCCAAGGCGGCTTGGAGTTCCGCCTTACCCTTAGGTGCAGGGGCGTCGCAAATAGCCCTCATCTTGTCCCCGGTCAGGTGGACTCTGTCTGCATCTACTGTAAATCCTAGAAAAACCACCTGTTGAACTCCTAGCAGACACTTTCCCCACTTCACCTTGAGGCCGGCCGTCTGGAAACAGTGCAGGACGGTGCAGAGTGTGTCCCCAAACTCCCCCAGCGTGGCCCCGGTGATCAACACATCATTGAAGAAGAGTGTGACGCTGGGAATTCCTTTGAGGAGAGAGTCCATTGGATTTTGGAATATGCCTGGGGCCACGCTGACGCTAAATTTCAGCCCCTTGACACGGAACGCGCCCCTGTGTGTTACAATCGTCTGTGCCTCCGCAGGGGCCTCGTCCACTGGCAACTGCTGATAGGCCTGGGCCAGCTTGCCACAAATCTTAGACCCCACCAGGGTGGCGAGGACGTGGCTGACCATTGGCACCGGGGATGCATGAGCCGTAAGGGCCTTGTTTATGGTACATTTGTAGTCTGCGCAGATGTGGACTGAGCCATTGGGCTTGACGGGTGTGATGATTGGGGTTTCTCAGGGGGCATTAGGCACGGGCTAGAGCACTCCTTGCTCCACAAGCCAGTCTAATTCCTCACCAATGTGGGGTTTTGAGGGCGAACGGGACCTGGTGGGCCTTGAACCTGATGGGTCGTATGGCGGGGTCTAGTTGTAGGCCAACAGGGGGGGCAGTATATCACCCCAATGCCCCATCAAAAACCTCCGGAAACTCTTTGCACATGGTGTCCATGTGGGAGCTGGTGCAGTTCACCCCGGTGATGGCTAGCCCCAATGGCCCAAACCACGCCAACCCCAGTAAGCTAACGTAGCACCCCTTGACCACGATCAAGTCCAACCGCCGCTTCCGCCCTCGATATTGTACGTTGAAGGTTCCCACCCCCATCGTGGGGACCTTGCATTTGTGGAAGACTCCCGGAGGGTGAATGGGGCTGGCCTAACTTGGAGCCGCCACTGGGACACAATTTCCTTAATGTCCATGCCAAGATTATGGACAGGGTTGAGCCTGTATCAAGCTCCAGGCGGCACGGGGCTACCTCTATCTGTGCCTGGATGTAAATTATTTCCGCATTAGAATGAGGCAACTGGTATACCTGACAGTCTGTGATCTCCGTCGAGTTGCCTTGGTGTGTCAGACCACGGGGCCTGGGACTCTTGGGTCGGCCATCTGGTTCGAGGCGTCGGGCAGGGCAGTCACGGCACACCCGGGCGATGTGTCCCACTTTTCTGCATTGTCGGCATTCTGCGTTGTGGAAATGGCAAGTCCTCTGCTCGTGGCTCTCCCCGCAACTTGCACAGTTCCCGTCTTCCGGACGAGGCTGTCGTGGTGGGTGTGCAGCTTATGTGCGCTGCTGCACTCAGTGCACGTCCTCCCGGTCGGATTCTGAGTCGTCGGTGAGGTCCTCATGGTGGATCCTTGGTTGGGACGACGTTTGATTGGAATCCTTGCACTGACCTCTCGGCAGCTTCAGTTGCTAAAGCCTCCTCTAGGGCAGCCTGGAACGTCAGGTCGTTCTTGGCGTAGAGGCGCCACTGCAGCTTCTCGTCCCTCAGGCCGCCCACGAGGCAGTCGCCAATCATGTTCTCCAGCTCTGTGACGTTGCAGAGCCGAGCAGCCTGGCAGAGGGAGGTCACATACCCGGCTATGGTTTCTCCGGAGACCTACCGCTTTGCCTAGAAGGCACTGCGTCACGCTACCACTGAGGGTTGTTGCGAGAAGTGCCCCTTCAGCCGTTCTATTATCGTGTCATAGGGAACGGTCGCAATATTTGTGGGAGCGAGGAGGGCTCAGGCGATCTTGAACGTTTCTTCTCCACAGATGCTGAAGAATGTTGCCCTCTTCTTGGCTGTGTCGCATGACGTCCTTTGCCTCCAGGAGGAACTGGAAGCAGGTGGCGTATCCTTCCCAGTCTCCTGAGGCTGGGCTGAACGGCATGAAGCGGTTGTCTGTCGCCATTCTGGGTCCTTGGGTCCTGGAGCTGTAGCCTGGATGACCGGTGCGATGCTGTGCTGCCTTGGCAGCTGTGTGCTTGCGCGGCAGACAGCTCAGCAGGATCCCACCTTCATCGCCAGTGAAATATGTTCAGAGTCCTGTAGTGATTTCATGCTCTTTATTGCAGCTTGTAAAAGAGTGATTTAATTGCCCCCCAAACCTCAGGATTTTATCTACATTATTTACAGAATGAGTCCCGTCTGATTGGCTGATTCTGTTTCCCTCCTGGAGCCTAATTGGTCTTTTCCTGCAAGCCAATCAGTTGTTGCATTCTAGGATCCTACTTGCCTATTGTTCTAGGATCCAAGCTTAGTACATAACTTTCTCCTTCCTCCTTGTCCCCAATTCTTAAATAGGCTTTATTTCAAAACGGGGTGGGGGTTAGAGAGGGCTTAGTCTTCCAAACAACTCTTTATCCATTAGTTAGTAGACAAGCTTCCCAGTGCAAGGAGAGGAAAGCAGACCTCTGAGCCCAGCCTGGCCCCCCACCCAATTCTGCCCGCATGCCTTGAGGCCCCAAGATGGGCGGAGGAAGGCCTGGGGGCAGGTGCTGGCTGGGACTTTGATTGGGGCAGAGTGGGGGCACAAGGAGAGGGAGACAGGAAGACCGGCCAGGGGGTGGCACTGGGGAGATTTATTCACATTGGTTTTCTACCCAAAAGCCACCACCCTCAGCTGTGAGGAGGGTGGCGCCTCCTCCATGAATTAGTCTTCCACTCCCAGCCACTCCGCTCAAACCTTTGCTAAAATCCTGCTCTCCTCCCTCCTCTCCGTCTCAGAGGCTGGGCTTTCTGTCTCATCTCAAGAACCGTCAAAGCACCCGCAGTTGCCTCTTGCCTTCCACCCAAACTGTCCATATCAATCCTAAGTGTCTCCTGTTCTGATTTCCATTTTTTGTCTTCTTTTCCAGCTTTTCAGACTTCTCCTCCCTTCCTTTCATGGAGATATCTAGTGCTTCTGTTTTCTTTGTAAGTGTCTCTGCTTTAGTGGTCAAATTTGTCTCCATTTCACTATTTCTATCAATTTGGGCTAATAGCTTCTCCAAATTTTCCTTCATCTCTTTAGTCAGATTCTGTTTCCTGCATTTTTCCTGCTCTCCCTCTTCCTTCCAGCCTGATACCCAACACACATAAGCTGTCTAACATAAAATCCAATTTCTCAAATTAAGATTCGAATTAAACAAATAAACCAAATAATTACTTTAAGAGATGAACCATAAAACAGAAAAAAGAATGTGTCCAAGAGGACAAAGCAATTTAGATGTCCAGGTAAGAGTGGTTGTCTGGCAGGAATCCAATTCTCTTTAAAGGGCTCAGGGTAGAAGAAATATTTTCCTTCAAAAAGAAACAAACTTGTACAAACGTGTCCTGATTTTGGCTTTTTCAGCCAGCTCTCAGTCTTTCTAAAAGGTCCATTTTTAAAAAAAAGAGCTTTAAAAATGAGACCAGACTTTCAAAACTCCTTCCAATCACACACTTGGCACGGATATGATTCCTCCCCTGTATGTATTCTTTGATGAAATGAGATTTCCTTTTTGACTGAAGCTCTTTCCACATTCCTAACACTGATCTGACTCCTCTGCTGTGTGTAATTTTTGATGGGCATTGAGACCTACTTTCCTGGTGAAGCTCTTACCACATTCCAGGCACTGAAAGGGGTTTTCTCCTGTATGAATTCTTTGATGGGAAGTGAAACTTGTTTTCCAGGTGAAGCTCTTTCCACATTCTAAGCACTTAAAGGGTTTCTCCCCTGTATGAATTTTTTGATGGGAAGTGAGTGTGGAGCTGTTAATGAATCTCTTTCCACATTCCAAGCACTGATACGGTTTCTCCCCTGTATGGATTTTTTTATGGAAAGCAAAACTTTGTTTCCAGCTGAAACTCTTTCCACACTCCAAGCACTGATAGGGTTTCTCCCCTGTATGAATTCTTTGATGGGAAGTGAGATCGTAGCTGTGATTGAAACTCTTTCCACATTCCATGCACTGATAGGGTTTCTCCCCTGTATGAATCCTTTGATGGGAAATGAGCTTGGTCCTCTGACTGAAGCTCCTCCCACATTCTACACACTGATAGGGTTTCTCCCCTGTATGAATTCTTTGATGGGAAGTGAGATCGTAGCTGTGACTGAAACTCTTTCCACATTCCACGCACTGATAGGGTTTCTCCCCTGTATGAATCCTTTGATGGGAAATGAGCTTGGTCCTCTGACTGAAGCTCCTCCCACATTCCATGCACTGATAGGGTTTCTCCCCTGTATGAATTCTACGATGGGAAGTCAGACTATAGCTGTGACTGAAGCTCTTTCCACACGCAAAACAGTGATATGGTTTCTCCCCTTTATGAATTCTTTGATGGACAGTGAGACTTTCTTTCCTGGTGAAGCTCTTTCCACATTCCAAGCACTGATAGGGTTTCTCCCCTGTATGAATCCTTTCATGGGAAGTGAGCTTGGCCCTCTTACTGAAGCTCTTTCCACATTCCACGCACTGATAGGGTTTCTGCCCTGTATGAATCCTTTGATGGGAAGTGAGTTCAAAGCTCGTCTTGAAGCTTTTTCCACATTCCACGCACTGAAAGGGTTTCTCCCCTGTATGAATCCTTTGATGGGAAGTGAGATGGGCCCTCAGATTGAAGCTCTTTCCACATTGCACACACTGATAGGGTTTTTCTCCTGTGTGAATTCTTTGATGGGAAGTGAAACTGCTCTTTTGACTGAAGCTCCTTCCACATTCCAAGCACTGATAGGGTTTCTCCCCTGTATGAATTCTTTGATGGACAGTGAGACTTTCTTTCCTGGTGAAGCTCTTTCCACATTCCACACACTTACAGGGTTTATCCCCTGTATGAATCCTTTGACGGGAAGTGAGATGGGCACTCCGATTGAAGCTCTTTCCACATTCCACACACTGATAGGGTTTCTCCCTTGTATGAATTCTACGATGGGAAGTGAGAGTATAGCTGTGACTGAAGCTCTTTCCACACGCAAAGCAGTGATAGGTTTTCTCTTTTGTATGAATTCTTTGATGGGTAGTGAAAATTATTTTCCTGGTGAATCTCTTTCCACATTCCAAGCACTGATACGGTTGCTCCCCTTTATGATTTCTCTGATGGACAGCTAGACTTTCTTTCCAGGTGAAGCTCTTTCCACATTCCACACACTGATAGGGTTTCTCCCCTGTATGAATTCTTTGATGGGAAGTGAAACTGCTTTTTTGACTGAAGCTCTTTCCACATTCCATGCACTGATATGGTTTCTCCCCTGTATGAATCCTTTGATGGGAAGTGAGATGGGCCCTCTGACTGAAGCTCTTTCCACATTCCAAGCACTGATAGGGTTTCTCCCCTGTATGAATCCTTTGATGGGAAGTGAAATGGGCACTCCGAGTGAAGCTCTTTCCACATTCCAAGCACTGATATGGTTTCTCCCCTGTATGAATCCTTTGATGGGAAGTGAGCTTAGCCCTCTGATTGAAGCTCTTTCCGCATTCCAAGCACTGATAGGGTTTCTCCCCTGTATGAATCCTTTGATGGGAAGTGAGCTTAGCCCTCTGATTGAAGCTCTTTCCGCATTCCAAGCACTGAAAGGGTTTCTCCCCTGTATGAATCCTTTGATGTGCAGTGAGATGGGAGCCCTGACTGAAGCTCTTTCCACATTCCACGCAGTGATATGGTTTCTCTCCTGTATGAATTCTACGATGGGAAGTGAGATTGTGACTGTGACTGAAGCTCTTTCCACACTCCAAGCAGTGATAGGGTTTCTCTTTTGTATGAATTCTTTGATGGGCAGCGAAACTCTGTTTCCAGGTGAAGCTCTTTCCACATTCCAAGCACTGATAGGGTTTCGTCTCAAGGGGATTTCTTTGATGCGAAGCGGAATGGGAGCTCTGACTGAAGCTCTCTCCACAGTCTGAATCCTGATATGGATCCTCTACTGTGTGGATTTCGTTGTGGTCTCCCTTGTTCTTCATTTCCAATTCATCACCACCTGAAACTAAGAGGCAAACGGATTAGAGTCTTGGGAAGAAGTGCAGTCCCAAATTACGGAACAATGCTGATTAATGCTTGGGACAGAGGAAGATCTGAAGGGTATTATAACGTTCCTTTTGTTCTGTAAAAATATCTAGTTTCGTATACAAATCAAGTTGAATATTAGATGTTTTCTCTCTCAGGTTTTTAAAAGTACAGCTTAACCTGGTAACGTCATTTTGTTCAAATTTAAATATGCATCTGTACTATCTTCATAAATAAAATGTGCTTTTATTGAAAAAGGTGGCCAATGCGGAAAAGTTCCCTGTTAAAGTTAAGATATATTCAATATGCTAAGTTGTTGAGTATGCAGTAATAAACCTAAACAAATTTTAAGAGCTGGAGAAATATTTGGGAACATTGACTCTGGACTGACTTGGTCATAGTCAGCTGCCTTGTGTTGGGCGATGTAAGAGCAGGGGAATAAAAATGGCAAACGTGAACTTCTTGTCATGTGACAAAGACACATGAGAGCAGAAGCAGCAAAGCAGGCTGGGAAGTGCTGGGACTGCACAATCATTTGGGCCTACTAAAGTTATTCAGGCCTAACTGCTAACTGTTGAGTCACTCCGACATGTGACTTAGCAGCCATTTTCTCTGTGTGTTCTCTGAAAGATTTCAGTCAGAGTCAGTCTGCCTCAGTTGTGAGCAGAGTCAGTATGGAATCTCAGTCAACCTGTTTGGAACCATGTTGTTTATGAAGAAGTTTATTTTAACTCAGTAAAGCTCTTAATTCTTTAAAACTTTGCGTTATTAATTTACGTTTTGTGTCAGGTCATGGGGCCCAGTGTTTTATGGATGGCAAATTGCTAAAGCTGGAGAATCAGGGTGATGTTGGTGAGGACCTCAAAGGGACTGAAGGTCCAGTGGTGAGGCCGTGTACCAAAGAAGCAGACCCGGTGCAGCAAGGAGCAGAAGCCACGTCAGCTCAGCAACCTGCGGTTTATTAATCTTGGCAACAGTGCCCAGATGGAACATCTGAATGGTAAGAACTACCTGACTTGGGCTCTCAAGCTTGAACTGGTTCTAAAACGTGATAGACTTTGGTCCTGTGTGGAAACTGGTTTGAATCCACAACCCTCTGAGCAGGAACGTGAAGATGATAGAGCCCGAGCGCACATTTTGTTGGCTCTAGAGGAATCACAGATCCTGCACATTGTGATCACCAATAGTCAGCAGGGGTTTCTGAAAAATAAGTCATGTCAGACTAACCTGATCTCGTTTTTTGACAGAATTACAAGCCTGGGAGATGAAGTGATCGCAATGGATGTAGCCTACCTTGATTTCAGCAAGGCATTTGACAAGGTGCCCCATGATATTCTTGTAAAGAAGCTGGTAAAATGCGGTCTTGACTATGCTACCACTCAGTGGATTTGTAACTGGCTGACTGACCGAACCCAAAGGGTGCTCATCAATGGTTCCTCTTCATCCTGGAGAAGAGTGACTAGTGGGGTGCCACAGGGTTCTGTCTTGGGCCCGGTCTTATTCAACATCTTTATCAACGACTTGGATGATGGACTCAAGGGCATCCTGATCAAATTTGCAGATGACACCAAACTGGGAGGGTGGCTAACACCCCAGAGGACAGGATCACACTTCAAAACGACCTTGACAGATTAGAGAACTGGGCCAAAACAAACAAGAAGAATTTGAACAGGGAGAAATGTAAAGTATTGCACTTGGGCAAAAAAAATGAGAGGCACAAATACAAGATGGGGACACCTGGCTTGAGAGCAGTACATGTGAAAAGGAACTAGGAGTCTTGGTTGACCACAAACTTGACATGAGCCAACAGTGTGACGCGGCAGCTAAAAAGCCAATGCAATTCTGGGCTGCATCAATAGGAGTATAGCATCTAGATCAAGGGAAGTAATAGTGCCACTGTCTTCTGCTCTGGTCAGACCTCACCTGGAGTACTGTGTCCAGTTCTGGGCACCACAGTTCAAGAAGGACACTGACAAACTGGAACGTGTCCAGAGGAGGGCAACCAAAATGGTCAAAGGCCTGGAAACGATGCCTTATGAGGAACGGCTAATGGAGCTGGGCATGTTTAGCCTGGAGAAGAGGAGGTTAAGGGGTGATATGATAGCCATGTTCAAATCTATAAAAGGATGTCCCATAGAGGAGGGAGAAAGGTTGTTTTCTGCTGCTCCAGAGAAGCGGACACGGAGCAATGGATCCAAACTACAAGAAAGAAGATTCCACCTAAACATTAGGAAGAACTTCCTGACAGTAAGAGCTGTTTGACAGTGGAATTTGCTGCCAAGGAGTGTGGTGGAGTCTCCTTCTTTGGAGGTCTTTAAGCAGAGGCTTGACAACCATATGTCAGGAGTGCTCTGATGGTGTTTCCTTCTTGGCAGGGGGTTGGACTCGATGGCCCTTGTGGTCTCTTCCAACTCTAAAATTCTATGATTCTATGATTCTATGATAGGATGAGAACAGAAGTCATGCAGCAACAGCGCAGCAGCAGCAGCAGGAGGCCCCATTAGCTAAAGTGGTGTTTCAGGTTAAGAACAGTTATAGGTTAAGAACAGACCTCCAGAACGAATTAAGTTCTTAACCCAAAGTACCACTGTACTTACATGTTACATTATTGTGAGAAGTTACAGGGGACGAGGCAGGGGGCCTTCTCGATAGGGGAACCCACCCTGTGGAACGCCCTCCCATCAGATGTCAAGGAAATAACTATGCAACTTTTAGAGGACTTCTGAAGGCACCTCAGTATCGGGAAGTTTTTAATGTTTGATGTTTGATTATGTTTTTCTATTTGTTGGAAGTTGCCCAGAGTGGCTGGGGCCACCCAGTCAGATGGGCAGGGTGAAAATAATAAAATTATCATTATTGTTACTACAGGGTTCACTGCCTGAGATTCAAAAAGCCTGGCTCTGTTTTGGGATGGAGTTTGTTTGGTTCAGTCGTGGAATCTGTGCCATCTCCAATGTCAAGCGACTCTTTGGTCAACCAGAGAGAGACAGAAGCAAGAACAAAAGCAGGAAACGTGACTGAAGCTACTTCAACACCCCAAATCACTCTGAATCCTACATTTAAGAAGGCTTGGGCAGTTCAGATAGCCTGATCATGGTTTTAAACGACAGAACTGGAGGAAGAATATTCACAGGGAAAACAATCAATAGCCATCCCTCCAAGGTTTGCTGTGGGAGTGTTAACATCCCAGGTGCTGTGAGTGGCGCTGTTGAGCCCTATCAAAATATCAGAGTTCATCACATAGAGAGATGTCTTGAATTACAAAACAGATAGGATGATCCAATAGGGAGCCTTACCGAGAGAGTCCAAGATCCCACGATTCTCCTCCATGACTTCCTTATGGAGAGCTCTCTGGTCAGGATCCAGCAACGCCCACTCCTCGTCTGTGAAATGGACAGCCACATCTTCAAAGCACACTGGACCCTAACAGAACAGGAAAAAGGCTGTCCTCTTAGAGAACATTCACTTGGCTCTGTTGTTTTCTACAGCGGCCAGACCCCTCTCTGCCTTCCTCATCCCTCTCTCCTGCTGCAGCTTCTGCCTCGGAGTCTGGGCTGCTCTCTGCCACAGACTCCCTCTGCTCCCTGAGCCCTCTTCCCTCTCCAGCTTCAGAACATTCCTCCTCCTCCTCCTCCCAGTCGGCTCCCTCTTCTCTGGCTCCTCCCACCATTCCTCTGCATCCAACTGTGTCCAGCCAGTCTGCATCCAAGCAGTCCTTCCCCACAAGGCTCCTTCCCCCTACCTGATCTGGGTCCACAGCTGCTGCCTCCCCCCACCACCATGAAAAGATGAAGGAGCAGGTCTTGGTGGCATCATTCCGTCACCTGGGAGAGACCAAGGAAAGTGGAAACCGTGAGCGCCTGCTTCTCTCAGAGGTGAAACAGTGCATCTCTAAGTACAGATGGGGCTTGTCCAAGTCTCCCCTGCTAGCTTCCGGTTCCGCTCTGCCTTAATGGAGGCAGCGGGAGATCGTTGGCAAAGGAAAAACAAGGATGACTGAGGGTAATTCTCCTTGCAAGTTCCCCCAGGGACAGGGGGGAATGGGCTTCACTCCCAGTTTGTCTCGGTACCAGGTTCCGGCTCCGGCATGGATTGCGAGAGGCAGGGAGGCGCTGAGTGCAAAAGCCCTTCGCCTGCCGAAAACCCTCCTTCGCCGCCATTAAGAACCAGAGGTTCTCCTGTCAATTAGAGCTCAATTTGGACTAATGTACAGGCGTTGCTGGAAGAGATGAGATCATAAACTGCGGAACTGAACCAGCTGCAAGGTCTTTAAGGTTTGAATTTGAGAATAAACTTCATTTGCTGCAAAAGACAGTGAGTGGGGGGAGGGGAGCCTATGGCTTCTTTAGATAAAGTTTTCTTCTCTGCATTTATGATTTGGCAGTCCGCCATTGAATACTAGTTGAAAATATATATGTACAGGTGAGCAGGTATGAAACTGGATTGCAGATATGAAATATAACATCAAATGGAACTGTGTGTGTAAAAGGAAAAAGGAAAAAGGGAAGGAAGCTCTATTTTGCAAAATGTTTACGATGGAAAATTAGAGGTGACTCTTCCCCATCCTTTATTATATACAGATTGAACTGATTAATGCTAAAAGGACTTGGAATTTAATTTAATTCGATAAATGCGCATTTATCTTCGGCCAGACAGAGGGATGTAAGGAATCTGAAAGTTGTGTAGGAGCTGATAAGGTTCATTACTGAGTCATTTGCAGTTTGACGGATCCCTCTCCTTCCCAGGCAGAGAAGAAAAATGGCAAAAACTGATTATTTATTGGGACAGTGTGATTTTTGCAGCTGCTGTTAAAGTTGCCAAACAACGAAGCACAGGACAGAGCGATGGAGAATTTCTGAAACCACAATGGGATATTAGCTCCATCCAAGGAATAATGGAGAACAGCAACAACCAGGAAAAGATAAAATATTTTACAAGGACAGGAAGAAATATCACGAGCAGAAAGATTGCCACACACGGGAAGAGTAAGGATATCGCTGGAGTGCCTAACTTGTAGTTTTATATATTATTTGTATAAAGGATTCTTATCTTGACAGGAGGGTAATTGAAAATAATAAGATTTTGGAATGCAGAAATCAAGAAAATCATCAAACCATCAGTTTTAGCATGCGGGGGGGGGCACCTATATTATATAATTTGATATCTTAAAGATTGGTATTACTAATTGTATTGTAATTTCGCATTGTTATAATGAGGCCATTAATGAACTGTAATTTTAAACTAATCAAATTACTATCGGAACCGTCTCCCCTGCTGAGTACATTTGGACTCATTTGTACCCATTTCATATAATAGTTGTGCAAAAATACATCCCCCCCCCCCGAGCTCTGGGCTCCAGTTGTCTTCCCCCCAAAAGATGTAAAGAACTCACAGATTAGTTTCAAAACCAAGAGAATGTGACAAAACGGGGGAGAAAACACTCCTTCCTCCTTACCCAGAGGCCTCACTCTGGCGTCCAGCGGAGTCTTCTCTGCCTCAGAAGAATCAAGACCCATTTCTGCCAAAAGATCCTTCCTCTGAAAGAGCAACAAGGATTCAAAACAGAGAATGGGGAGAAGGGTTAGAGAAGGAATGGCAGAGGCAAGCGCTTTCGGGGGACAGAGGTGAAAGCTGCTTCCTGCTTCTGCTAGACTGGTGTCTGGGGTTGGCTGCCAGGACCATGAAACATTGGTCCTCAAGGATCTTCACTGGCTCCCAGAACGTTTCCCAGCACAATTCAAAGTGTTGGCCTCAAAGGCCCAGTATACCCAAAGGAGCGTCTCCATGAACTGAGGTCCAGTTCCGAGGGTCTTCTGCTGATTCCCTCACTGTGATAAGTGAAGTTACAGGGAACCAGGCAGAAGACCTTCTCCACAGTGGGACCCACCCTGGGGAATGCCCTCCCATCAGGTGATAAGGAGATAAGAAAATGCATAACTTTTAGAAGACATCTGATGTCTTCTTATGCTTTTATATGTGCTGGAAGGCACCCAGCCACATGGGTGTAATAATAATAATAATAATATGCTTTCCAAAAAAGGATGGGCCATTAGGAATTGATTTGGGAATACTCTCCCTCCTCTTTGGAGCCCCTTGGGAGTATCCAGAGGAAAGTCTCTCTCACCTGCTGCTCTGCCTGCTTCCTCTCCTCTGCCTGACTCAGGAGGAAACCTTCGGCCAGGGCCACCGCCTGGGAACTGGTCTCCACTCCGCATTCCCTCACCCAGTTCTCCATCTCCAGAGGAAGGACAGCCAGGAACTGCTCCAAGATCACCAGGTCCAACATCTGAGCTTTCGTGTGCCTTTCCGGCTTCAGCCACTGATGGTCAAGGTGGTAGAGTTGGCTGCAAACCTCTCGGGGTCCTTTGGCCTCCTGGAAGCAGAACTGCCTGAGCTGCTGGCTCTGCACCTCTGAGCAAGGGGTGTCCTCCTCACCCAGGATCTTCTTCACAGAGTTTTCCCGGAATTCCCCACTGCTCCCCGTTTCCATGGCATGGCCTCTTCCTGCTTCAGGGCCAGCTGAGTCTTCCTCATCCATCTGGGCTCTCCGGAAGTCTCCAAGAGATCGGAAGGAGCCCCTTGGTCCTCTGCCAAGTTCTGTGGGTACTAATGCGAGGTGCAGAAAATCATATGAATCAAACACACTATTCTATTGTAAGATGAAGAGGAGAAGAATGTTTCCTGAGGAAGCGTGGCTGAGTCTTGCTAGGAACCAGGGCTGGATTGCACCACAGCTCAGACTCCAAGCTGTATGGGGGAAAAAGGGGGAGGGAGAAGTCATAACTGTGAATGACAAGTGAGTGTAATCTGGAGCCAAGGCAGCAGTGGGGGTCCCCCCCACCCCACCCCGCTTCGCCCCAACCCAACCCAGCCATCTCTGCTTGGGTGGCTTGGTGAGCAGCAGGGCCCATGTCTAGCTCCAGCCACCGTCCCTTGGGGACTTCCTGCTCTGGATCCGAGGGGACGGTGGCAAGGCCCTCTGGGTGGAACTGCCCTGGAAGACGCCTCGGAAACTGGACTTTCAGTCAAAAAAAGAATTAGGGAGGGAAAATGGACGACATACAGAGATTTATGAATAGAGAGAGAAGGGAAGCTTCGTGGTATTTCCCTCTTAATATACTTCTCCCTCATAATAATGTCCCTCTTAATATACTTCTCCCTCATGTCCCTCTTAATATACTTCTCCCTCACAATTATGTCCCTCTTAATATCCTTCTCCCTCATAATAATGTCCCTCTTAATATACTTCTCCCTCACAATTATGTCCCTCTTAATATACTTCTCCCTCATAATAATGTCCCTCTTAATATACTTCTCCCTCATAATAATGTCCCTCTTAATATACTTCTCCCTCACAATTATGTCCCTCTTAATATCCTTCTCCCTCATAATAATGTCCCTCTTAATATCCTTCTCCCTCATAATAATCTCCCTCTTAATATCCTTCTCCCTCACAATAATGTCCCTCTTAATATACTTCTCCCTCATAATAATCTCCCTCTTAATATCCTTCTCCCTCATAATAATGTCCCTCTTAATATACTTCTCCCTCATAATAATCTCCCTCTTAATATACTTCTCCCTCATAATAATGTCCCTCTTAATATACTTCTCCCTCATGTCCCTCTTAATATCCTTCTCCCTCACAATAATGTCCCTCCTAATATCCTTCTCCCTCAGAATAATGTCCCTCTTAATATCCTTCTCCCTCATAATAATGTCCCTCTTAATATCCTTCTCCCTCATAATAATGTCCCTCTTAATATACTTCTCCCTCATAATAATGTCCCTCTTAATATACTTCTCCCTCATAATAATGTCCCTCTTAATATCCTTCTCCCTCATAATAATGTCCCTCTTAATATCCTTCTCCCTCATAATAATGTCCCTCTTAATATCCTTCTCCCTCATAATAATGTCCCTCTTAATATCCTTCTCCCTCATAATAATGTCCCTCTTAATATACTTCTCCCTCATAATAATGTCCCTCTTAATATCCTTCTCCCTCATAATAATGTCCCTCTTAATATACTTCTCCCTCATAATAATGTCCCTCTTAATATCCTTCTCCCTCATAATAATGTCCCTCTTAATATCCTTCTCCCTCATAATAATGTCCCTCTTAATATACTTCTCCCTCATAATAATGTCCCTCTTAATATCCTTCTCCCTCACAATAATGTCCCTCTTAATATCCTTCTCCCTCACAATAATGTCCCTCCGAATGTCCTTCTCCCTCATGTCCCTCTTAATATACTTCTCCCTCATAATAATGTCCCTCTTAATATCCTTCTCCCTCATAATAATCTCCCTCCCAATGTCCTTCTCCCTCCTCCCTGTCTTCCAGTCCCACCTCCCTGGCCAGGGCCTGAGGTCCCTCTGCCTCCCTCCCGGACCCCCCAGCCTCTCTTCCCTCCCCTTCCCGCCTCCCGGGGCAGGGAGTTCCCCAGGCTTCCCCCGAGAGGAGACCCACCAGAGCCCGGCAGGCGAAGGCGAGGCCGGAAGGGACCTCAGAGGGCAAGAGGAGGAGGAGGAGGAGCGGCCCGCCTTCCTTTCCTGTCCTCTCTAGGAAGCCAGCTCGGCGCCTCTTAACCCTTCTCTCTCCCGGCGGAGGAGCCCGAGGCGTCGCGCAGGCGCAGAACTGCCCCTTCCGAGGGGAGGGGGGAGGGAGGAAGCAGGACCCAGAACCCGGGACTGGGCGCGTGTGCGTGGGAAGGGGGAACCCGTGTCCGAGAGGAGGAGCCCGTCTCTCTGCCTGGGGCTCCGGGGCTGCGAAGGGGCGTCTGGGCGGGGGAGAGGGGGGTCTTGGGGGGGCCAGATGGGGGACCCGGGGGTGTCTCTTCTCCGGGGGGCGAGTCTCTCTTGGGGCCCCTGGGGGGGCTGCGGGGCAGAGAGCCCTGTCCCAGCAAGAGGGGGGCCGGGGGGGCTGAAGGGGCAGCTGGAGGGGGGAGACATTGCCAGACATGGCTGGGGGGCCATTCTGTGTTCTCCCATCTGCTGCTTCGTGTCTGTATTTCAGCCATAAATATCCCATGTTCTTCTCTGTTAGTGAAGTCGCCTTTGAAGCAACACAGGAGCAGCCAAGGGGGTTTTCCTAGGAAGCCTTTTATTCCCCTCTGGTGACATTCTTAGAAGTTTGTGGGTGCCCAACGCCCGTAAAATACCTCCTAAATGTTGGAATTGGATTTAGACTTGGGTTGCCAACACCGGGTGCCAGACCCGTGTGGATGAAACGGTGTGTTTGACGCTCCTCATCCTCTGGAATCAGCGTGTCTTCACAGCTCCTTCAACCAGGCGAGGAAGGACGCCTGGATCCAGAATTGGCCCCCACGGTCACTGAGGGCCTCATGGTTGAAACCGTGTTTAGGGAAGACAATCTTACTCGGCTACGAGGGACGCCAGAGAAGAAGGGTTGCCATGTGTCCTCTTTTCCCAGGACATGTCCTCTTTCTCAGGGGTAAAAGTTCTGTCCAGGTGGATTTTTTGGTCAAAATGTCTCTGGCCAGACGTTCTGGAGGAGACATAACTGGGGGTGGAAGACTTGCGTTCCTCTTCTCTTCTCCTGCCCCCCCTCAGCAAAACATCTCACAGCTTCTCTAGCCTACATATAGTAGGAGTATTGAAAGTGAGAGTCATCATCGCATCCTCGTTTTTGCTCCTCAAAATCTGCCCACCCTCCCAGAGAAGGGCAACCAAGGAGATGAAGACTCCGTCCTCTTCCTTCTGTGACGGCAGGTTGCTCTTGCTCCTTGTCCGCCTTCCAAATGAAGAACAGAATCCTAAAGTTGGAAGGGACCCCAAGGTCCATCTAGGCCAGGGGAGGCAACCTAAGGACCAGGGGCCGGATGCGGCCCAATCGCCTTCTCAATCCGGCCCCCGGATGGTCCGGGAATCAGCGTGTTTTTACATGAGTAGAATGTGTCCTTTTACTTAAATTGCATCTCTGGGTTATTTGTGGGGCATAGGAATTTGTTCATTCCCCCCCAAAAAATATAGTCCGGCCCCCCACAAGGTCTGAGGGACGGTGGACCGGCCCCCCGGCTGGAAATGCTTGCTGACCCCGGATCTAGGGCTGTTTTTAAATGTCCCAACGCTGCCTGGCACTGGTCCCTCCAAATGCTCTTGTCTGGCTGGTCTTTCTTCACCCAGTCATGTCAAGGAGCAGCATGGGGGCTAAAAGGAGGAATAAATGGAGGACAATATCCCACTCCCCCCAGAAAAGCTCTTCTTTCTCTTTCTGTGGAGGGTCTAGGCCCCTCTTGAAGGACCTTTGCCTTGCTCCAATCAGGTTGTATATTTCCACCCCTTGGGACGGGACCGAAATATTTGACTTGCCTCATTTTGAAAACTGGCATTTTGAAGCTTTGACCATTAGGCCTGCACACCATCAGCTTTTACAGTGGTACCTCGGGTTAAGAACAGTTTCAGAGCGAATTAAGTACTTAACCCAAGGTACCACTTTAGCTAATGGGGCCTCCCGATGCTGCCGGAGATCGATTTCTGTTCTCATCCTGAAGCAAAGTTCTTAACCCGAGGTACTATTTCTGGGTTAGCGGAGTCTGTAACCTGAAGCGTCTGTAACCCGAGGTACCACTGTACATACTTTACATTTGCTGAGGCAAAATCTCCACCCCCAACATTGCTTGCGGCAGTTCTGCCCTCGCCTTAATCTCCTCCATTTTGAAAGGAAGCATCTCTTTTTCATGGGCCATCTTGGCCTCCCTGTCTCTTTCTTCTTGGGCTCATCTCTCTCTCTCTCTCTCTCTCTCTCTCTCTCTCTTTCTGCCTGTATCTCTGCTAGATGAAGGGCAGCTGCCATTCTGGCCTCTTCTCTTTCTTTCTCTGCTTCAACCTTAGACAATTCCAATCTTAGCCTCATCATCTCTAATTCAATATATTAGGATTCTCCTCAGACGCAGCAGCTGGGTCATCCTGAGTCTCTTTGGCTTGGCGCTTGCTGGTCATTTTCTGACAGGACTTTTTTCTCTTTTTAATCAAAGAACTTCACTCCTTTATTAAACTGGTTGTTCTGTGTCTCTGGGTACGTTTCTGTGTGGGTTTTAACTTCGTATCACGGCTCTTTTCCCCCCGGCACCCTTGGGCCTGCCCTTCAGGGTTGTCGTTTTGAGACCCCACTTCCTCCCTGGGTTTCCAATTATTACTTTTTCTGGAAGGGACTGAGTATTACTGCTCCCCCTGAGTCTCCTTTGATTTCATCTCCCAAGGTAGAGACTTCAGTTACTGTTTTCAGCCTAAATGAGCAGGAACCTCTTGAAAACGTTGCTCTAAACTGATCAGCTGTTTGAGCTCATCTGACTTTTCTCCCATCTGTCCAGAGCTTTGTCAATTCGGCTACCCAGTTGGGCCTAAGTCTCTCCTGGTTTCCTTTTAATTTCACGAAAGGCTTTTTGGCTTTGTTCTGCAGTCAGTCCAAAGCGCACTTTCACTCTCTCCTTAAATGTGAGGGAATCAGAGGTTTCATCCTCTCTGAGATCGGAGTATATTTCACTCAAAATTCCACATATCTGTGGGCGTAAGTGCAGCATCCAGTTTTCCTCAGGAACGTTTAAATTTTTACAAGTCTGCTCAAAACTAATCAGGAATGCCTGCACACCATCACCTTTTACATACTGTATTTTTCGCTCCATAGGACGCACTTTTTCCCTCCTAAAAACTAAGGGAAAATGTCTGTGCGTCTTATGGAGCGAATGTGCGATCCCTGGAGCCAAATCGCTGTTGCCCCGCGCTCCTGAGCTGCTCGGTGGGGGTGGGGAGCAGCAAATTGCTGTCTCTCATTGCCTCCTAATTCAACTGCAAAGGATTGCCTGACTGGATTCTGAACTCCATTTGAAGTTTATAAATATTAAGTTTGGGCATTTCTTCAAGTAGCAGTTTTGCGGAAATAGTCATCAATACATGCAAAGCATCTCCACAAACCAGTAATAGTGAGCTCAGCTAAAACCGAGCAGGCATCTGGCTCAGGAACAGTTTAAACTGCACAACTATAACCGGACATCCTGTGTGTTTGTGTGTGGACCATGTTCCTAGCAGCTAATCTTTATTGCTGAAAAGAGGCACTGATATTCCACTCCAAATCTATAATTCATTAAAAAAATTCTTACAAGCACAGTCCACCTATACCAAACCAAAAACATTGTGTTCTCCTGGTATTGAAGGGAAGCTATTTATCTGCCTTCTTTTCCTCCTCTGTTCTTTGCTCAGTCACTCCATTTTGAATCTTCCTTTCAAAACAACCATGCCTGTTTTGAGAAAACTTCAGAGATTTAGGAACTGGAGCGCAATCATTTGATCTCTTTGCTGTTCCTCCATACTCCAAGCACTTCTCATTTGCACAGCCCTGGTTTCTCTCCCTGACTATTAATATTCTTGATTAATAACAGTAAAATGCTCAAATTTTAGTTTTTGTGACTGTTGCCAATACTGACTTCCCAGTGATGATGAAAACACCTACATTCTAATGGAATGTCTGTCCTTTTTCCATTCTCTTCATTATATACCGTGGCTCGCTTTAAAGCAGCAAAGTGGACAGGAGCCACCCATTTTGCTGTTTTAAATAGTTTAGTACAACATTTGAGTCAGATTTTTTTTTCTTGTTTTCTAAAAACTTGGTGCGTCTTTTGGTCAGGTGCATCCTATGGAGCGAAAAATATGGTACTTTACATTTGCTGAGGTAAAATCTCCACCCCCAACATTGCTTGCAGCAGTTCTGCCCTCAGCTTAATCTCCTCTATTTTTAAAGGAAGCATCTCTTTTTCATGGGCCATCTTGGCCTCCCTGTCTCTTTCTTCTTGGCTCATCTCTCTCTCTCTCTCTCTCTCTCTCTCAGCCTGTATCTCTGCTAGATGAAGGGCAGCTGCCATTCTGGCCTCTTCTCTTTCTTTCTCTGCTTCAACCTTAGGCAATTCCAATCTTAGCCTCATCATCTCTAATTCAATATATTAGGATTCTCCTCAGACGCAGCAGCTGGGTCATCCTGAGTCTCTTTGGCTTGGCGCTTGCTGGTCATTTTCTGACAGGAATTTTTTCTCTTTTTAATCAAAGAACTTCACTCCTTTATTAAACTGGTTGTTCTGTGTCACTGAGTACGTTTCTGTGTGGGTTTTAACTTCATATCCCACCCCTGCCACCAATTAATATGCGATGATGCAAGGGCTCTTTTCCCCCTGGCAGCCTTGGACCCGTCTTCTCTCTTAAATAGAGTGCATTCACCTCACAGAACACAATTTCCACAAATTCCCTCCAACTACCTCAGATTATCTTGTGGGGGACTTGCGTGAGGTAAAACTTACTAATTGGGAGTCTCAGGCAGGATTTCTTCAAATAAACATTAACGATTTTATTTAACAAGGAAGTTTATGACACGAGTGGATAAAACTTAGGATACCTCAGTTTACAATGTTATTTCCCTTCAAGGTTTTCTCAGTTGTTTCACACGTAATACTTTGGTTCTTAACAAGGTGGCACTTTCTGCCAGTTACCCTACTCCCAAGGTACTCCA